TTTTAATTGAAAAATTATAACAAATAATTTATCTACGTGTTATTTAAAAATTTTAACTTAACAAACTATAAAAAATTTCCAAAAAGTAAAAAATTTATTTTTTGGAAAATAAAATATAATTACATAACTTATTCTTATTTATGTTTTTAATAATAGTCAATCAAGTTCAAACTTAACGAATATGTAGTAAAATAGAAATAATTAATTAAAAAATCTATTCATAAAAATAATGTAAATATGTAATTTTAGAGTAAAATCTATTTTACATAAATTATTTTCAACATTTAAATATTTAAATGATAATTATTTAAGTTTTCTAAAATTTATTACGCCTGACATTAATAATATAGTTAATTATAAACTGTTCTATGGGTAATCTAGGTAACAAGTGATTTTATCATTTATTTTACCACTTAGATACTTAGATTTTTGTTAATTAGAATTGTAATTTAATATGAACTCAATTTGATTTATAACAACTTTTACAGAAAATAAATAATTATATTTTATTGTACAACAATATCAACTATAAATATAAAGAACAATACTGTATAAATAATTAAAGAACAAATGCATTTAAAAATTTTGTTGTGCTCTCTCCTATATATAAAAAGATTAATAAATTTATCATAAATAAAAGTTTCCGTAAATGTTATATTTAAACAATTTAATTGTAGAGTCATATCAATTATATGATTATAAATAGGAGCGTCCTTATTATTTTGAGGTTAATATAAGTTTTAATTAATTTTAAATACATTTTAAATAGAAATACTAATTTCAATTCAAAATATATATAACTTGAATTTTATGAAGTCCGATAAAATATCTTATAAACTCATCAATTTTTTCTAGTCCAAGTAATAAATTGAATATTTTACTTTCATATTAAACAAATAAAAGAAAAACTAATTATAATTTTTTTTTAAGAATTAAAATCATTAATATAAAAATGTTGTTATGTTAGTATATAGTTACTATGCAGACATAAACAATGTTTGTATAACTATTTCGACATAACTATACATCTTAACACAATATTTTAAAGGAATATTACTTTTTGGAAATGAAATAATGATAAAAATATATAATATATTTTTACAGTAATTTATTTTTAATTGTTATACTTCTAGAATAATAGACAACAATAAATCGTCAAAACAATAGGATCTATTCTATGTTTCATAATCTTGTTCAATAGTTATGTATTCCTTCATAATTCATATTTATAAATGCGTGTTTTTTAAAATGTAATTAAGCATTTGCAAAAATGTATTTACAATTTATTTGAAAGATTAAAAGTCAAATATCAAAAACCGGAAGCTTTTCTTCGTAGCACTAAACTGATCACGTGACTTATATTAACTAACTGAAATGCTACAGGATCATAGAACTAAAAAGACGAGCTATTCTCTGATATAATATAATGTTCAACTCTTTACGATATTGAAACATTAATTTAATTGAATTTGTAGTTTTTAAATAGTAAAATATCATATCAATAAATAGAAATTTTTATTTACAACAAATGAAGTTAATTGGACCATCGATGAAAGTAGTATGAATATAATCGTTGCTTTAAAAAATATATGTAATTCTATATGAATAATTGTTTAAAAATGAAATTTTTAATTCAAATAGTCAATTTGAAAATTAATTGATTTAATACTGTTCGTTACTTATTGTTTCGTATTTATTGAAAACTACTTATTTTTATTATCTGTTAATTTAAAATATTTGTTTAATCTATTTACTATAATTTATGTTTTACTTATGATGTTAAAAATCAGTTTCTAATAATGATCCTTAAATATCAAATTGTGAAGATACATGATATGCAATTGGACTACTTAATATATTATACTATACATTATTAAAAACAATAAAATGTTCTAAATTCATTATTAAAATCACGACTTTGAAGTTTAAAACCATATATTTTAACAATTAATTGTTTATTATTGTAAATTCTTGAATTTATTTTATATAATTTTTATTTAATTTGTTAAATTAAATATTTATGTAATTCAATGCACAGTATAACCATAAAAAACTAATCAGTAAATAAACGCATAAAAAACATGCGATAAGTGGCGGTAGCTTTGAATTTAGCATCATACGTTATATCATTTTATCTTTCTATTTGATTGGAAAACAATGTACACAATATTATAAAGTAAATATTAAATAAGCAAATTTATTAGCTGCTCTATAGAAGTTTTAAACAAACTTTCATAAATAGAGATAGATAACATTTCAGTTCTTTTTCAACTTCAATTCCTTTACGCTATTGGTAAGGTAGGTAAAATATGTAATAAATGTTTCATTTAAATAAAAATTACAGCTTATAGTATTAATTTATAATGTATTGATTAAAATTATCGAACTAAATTTTATAAACAAAAAAAAATAACATGAAATCAATGTTTAGTTACTTTTATTTCTTACATTAATATAAAATATATAAAAATTTGAAAACATAATGGCATTTTTTTTAATGTGCATGTGTACACACGCATATATATTAGAGATGCATTACCATATGTTGAACCTTTGATAAGTTTACTCTAACATAACACTTTAAATTTACATATTTTTTAATAAATACAAAATAATTATATCATCTTTACGTAAACAAGACAAATTATAAATTCTCAATTTATAGCGATTATAAATAAGATATTAATTTTTTTATAATTTATCTTAACGAATTGAGCAACGACATTTTTTTTCTTCTTTTTTCTTTGGCATCGTTCGTTTTTCAAATCCTCCGATAGTCCGATCAAAGGTTTCCAATCGTACTTTAGTGGATATGCTTGTTTCAATGATTGTGAATCGAAGGTGTGATTAATCTACATAGTACAATTATTTTCTCAAAATTTATTAAAGTAGATTTAAGTTTTAATTTTCAAACATAAGTAAATATATATATATATATATATATATATATATATATATATTTAAATATTTATATCTATGCTGCAATTTAAAAAAATTATATCTATAAGATAAATTTTATCAAATACTTCAGTTTATATTATTACCAAATTTTTTACTGTGATTGAATCGTACTTAATGTACTAAATCATAAAGCAATATAGAATTTTATTTGTAATGGTTAGAAATATTTTTTGAAATATTCCTATAATTAAAATGAATAAATAAAAGTCTGATTATATTTAGAGAAACGAGTAACTACGTATATAAAGATATTCAAACAAATCAATTTTTATTCTTCTAACATTTATATTTAGAGACTTAAAAACAGTTTATGAAAACCTAAATACCATAATATATTAAAGATTATACATTAATTATTTATTTATTGCATAGTAATTGTATTCAGTAAGTACGAAAATTATTATAAAAAACTAGCAAAGTAAAATAGTAAATTTCAATAGTAAATTTCAATAGTAAATTTAATTTTAAAATGTTTATTGTGTTCTTGAACATAAAAATTACTATTTGAGGTGATGATCTCTATTGTGTCATTAAATTTTGAAAAAAGATAGAGAAGCATTAGTGGTACATGAAAAGCAAACTGGTCATTATCTGACAACTTAGTATTGTCAATTACTATATTACAACCACTCGAATTACCAATTAATTTTGACCAATGATAACTCGTAATTGTGAAGTTGCCTTTCTGTAAGCTATCGTCAAAGGAAGTCGTTCATTATCTAGCAACTTCCGTACTGTCGACCCAACAAACCTCGTGCCTTTTAGAAATCATGTCACAGCAACACCTATCCAATTAATTCTTACATTTTTTATAAACAATTCGTCGCTCAAAATACATTTCAAGTTTTTAAAATCAAATATCAGTTATATTGCTATTTGAATAACAATATATTTTAATGTTCTAGATATCAGGCTCCGACATCATAATTGGCTTACAATGATAAAATCCTCTTTGCGTATGATTTTAATATATTTTTAATACTTCTTGTACTTTTATATGCTTAAACTTCACATACTCATTATACTTATATTTAGATTATATTTACATAATATTTAATACTCGTATAGTTCATATATTCATTTTGTATGTTTATATGCATTTATATCCACAATATTCTAAAATTTTGTTAATTATGGAGGAAAGTATAGTATGCGAACATACTTATTCAATACCTAATAGTTTATATCTTTTATTTCTAATTGAACAGCATCAAGTTTTGTATAAGTATTTTTATTCTTAAAAATGACAAAAATAAAAATTTTGTTTTATATTAACATGAAGATTTTTATTAAAAAAACTTTTTTTACTTTTAAGTTTTACTAAGAAAATAATTTATAATAAATTTTATACAATATCAAACATAATATTTTATAAAAAAGTTTTAAAACATTTTATTTTTAATCAATATCTTTCATACCAAATGAACAGTATAATTGTTTTTTTAATAACATATTTTACTAAATAAAAAATTTCTTTATTAAAGCAATACTTTATATGAAACTAATACGTTGAAAATAAAATAACAATAACAGTTGAACATTCTAATAAACATAATCTAATTTAGAATATAATTTTATATCGGTCCTGATACAAGAGATAAACTTAGTTAATATATATTATAAAGAAAGTTATTTAAAAATATTTAATAAATTTATCAATCGAAAGTTAGATGTTACTGTTTTATAAAGACATAATCGTTATGCTATGAAGATCAGATCAAGTATCTCTGCGCTTGTTAAAATACAAGGCAAACACAGTGCAACACAGTCGACAGTGCAAGTGCGAGGTTGTGTCTCAACTTACAGTCAGTGTTAGGTGTCCAGTCGCCACTTCCTGGTCGATCCAATTTATGCTTCGGGGGAACATTACGAGCGCGTGCATATGTGCAACTAATGAGCCTCGACACAATTGGCGACTCTACGGGATCTCAACGATGCTTCCGTACTTCAGTCTCAGAGTTGCGTATGTCGCCGATAGCGTGCGACTGATGTACTTGAAAGCCTGGCTCCAACGTCACAATCATGTCATGGGCTCACAGGTCCGAAAAGATCGGCCTCAAGAAGATGGCTCATCACCACGGTCCCAGTAAGAAAGAACCACCTAAAGAAAGTCTTCTGCATTTCCACCCAGATGGTACTGAGGACGAGATCGATAAGGAGTGGGAGGAGTTCTCAAGACTCATGGAGAAGTTCAAGGAGAATCGAAAGAACAGGTAGACCGATTCGCGGCCACTCCTAAATTTTTCGGAAATAACGACTATTACGACAATCTGAGTTTATTAAAGCTGTCTACTGACGCAACCATTTTATACAAAGTTTAAGAGGTCTTGATTAACCTCTTCCTGCGTGAGCTATATTGTTCTACAAAATGTAATAACTATTTTAAATTTTTGGACAAGAACTTTATAAGTAAAAACAAAATAATCATTCAATAGCCCCATTAACATTTTACTTATTTCTTATTTCTTAATAAATATATGAAATATAATCATAGTTATTTTTTATTTATCGTTAAGATTTAAATAATATATTTATCAACTAATGAATTAAAATGCTTGTTAAACAAGCTTTATATGAGGTGACATAAATGAAAGAAGAGGTTAATGTGTTTGGGACTTTTTAGGTAATGTAATATTTTTGTCAATGAAAATATAAATATTGAAATTATAAACTGCGGGAAATATGAAAATCTTCAAAAAATTATAAAAAATATAAAAATACAGAAAATATATAGAATACACATTCAGTATAATAAAAGTAAATCGCTCGTAAGGTAATATGAAAAGTATAATCAATAACATTCTAATAAATTTAGTTTTAAAAAATTCAGAATTTAATACGAACTTTAAAATTAGGTTGATAAGTCAATATAAAGAAGATATACATTTAATTGTTTTACTTTAAACTATGAAATAATATAACATCTTAATTATTAAAAATTGAACATATTATTAGTTATTATTATGTCTTATTTGAAACTATTTACTATTGTATAAATCTAAATTAAATTAAGAGTTCAAAATTAAAATAATTAGTTTTTGTTTTAACAGTTTTTATATAAAAGTTTTTAATATGCTATTTTTTAATTTTGAGTAAGCTTAAATTTATTAATAGTGAGTATCCATATAATTTTATATAAATTAGACTATCAAATTTCATAGTTAGTATTAACCATTTTACAGTGTATATGATAATTGAGTAATTCTTATATAACTTTTACATTGTTTTGAAATCGATGTTAAGTTGTACTGCTGATGTTTGTATTTCATTATTGGGTCTTTTTATTTTTTCATTACTTAAATTATTAAAAAATTTTTATGTAATACAAAAATTAACATGTGCATACCTTTAACAGACCATCACAAGCATTCTACCCTTGTCCTCCATCTGTCGTCGATGATGAACAACAAGAATTCGATCCTTTCGATTCTCTCAACACTTATGTAAGGATCCTGTTTTAACATTTGTTTAAGTCAAACACTACTTTTATGCTTTATGAATTTTCTCTTAATATATTAATGTATAAACTAATTAGAGCACGAATATGTTTAAACTTTCATTAGGATCTTTAAAGAATTAAATCTTTCAAGTATATTATTTTTATTTTATCTTTAAATTTTACAAGAAATAGTTACTTTTATACGTATCTTTCTTTCGAGCTATAGAAAAAAATATAATTATACGTTATCATTACAAATTGAGTATAGTAATGTGTGTAATTAAGGCTAATATTATATAATAAAACAAAGTTGGAACATATATATTAATTATTTACATAATAATGCATACAATTATATTTTTAATAACAATACAAAATAAAACATTTTTACCCAAAATATTGAAAAAAAAACAATATTTGAAATTTATTCATTAATTAATTATATATATATTTTAAAAAATAATATCAAAATGATATTCAATTTCATATATGATAACATGGTTTCGAAACATACAGAAGTGTACAAAATAAGATTAATACCATAAAACAAATATTGATATATGCAAGTATTCTCATTATTTTATACTAATGCTGTTCTATTTCACTAAAAAGTTTCTTGACATCTCGACTTTTTAACTTGAGACAATTATAGTAAATGGTGAGAACATTAGACATATTAGAATGTATAGCATGTAAATATTTTGATCAGATCTAGATTCATAATTTTGGTATGTTTAATTAAAATATTTGATTAACAATTATTTGAAATGTATATACATAATGAAAAACGTATTAAAGATATTATTTTGAAACAGTATACAAATAATTTCAATGGAAACTTATATTTTATCATAATATAAAATCATTAAATATATATATATATATATATATATATATAATGTGTGTGTGGATGTATGTATGAATATAAATAATAAGTAAAATATTATAATAATTAATAAAATCAAATAATAGTCTTTATATTGTATATTTAGGCAACGGGGAATCATGAGCAATTAAAAATAATAACTAATGAAACCTAATACATTTAAAATTACTGTACTACTGTAAAGGGATTTTTTCTATTCATTGTCTCATTTGGTATCATTAAACATAATTATATATATATATGTGTTACGTATGAGTTTAATCCAAATTTTAGTGCATTCACATTGTATCAATAAATTTACAATTGCAGGACGAAAAATTGAAGTAATCGAGCACAATGAAAGAGCTTGAATAACCCATTCAAAACTGTCATATCTAGAGGGAAATTTGAATTAAAAAATTTCTATATGTTTCTCAAAAACAAAAATATGTATAGAATTATCATCACAGACTAATTTTCATTTAGTTAAAAATATTATACTGTGACATAATAACATTAATAAATATTATAACATTATACTGTGACGAAAATTTATAATAATTTATAATTCATAATATTGATATGAGAATATTATGAAAATGCTATAAAATTTTAATTATCAGCTAAAATATTAGCTGATTGATTGCGTTTTTATGTTTAATTGAAAAGAAGCTTTAGAAAACTTTTAAAAAATTCAATTATTGTTTTAAATTATTACTATATTCAACTAATGAAATAACAATAAATATAATTACGTTATAGTTATTAGTAAAGTAATTAGTATTTAAAAGTCAAATTATCACAAAAATAATGGAAATAACTATGAAACAATCATACTTTTGAAAATTCTGACTTTTAAAAAAAAATATTCGGAAGATACGGAATGAACATGCATCTATTTAACTATCAAAAATTTTCTCAGAACATGAAATTATACTATTATTAACTCATTATAACTCAATGCATCTTTGAATAATTACCTTAAAAAACTTATGAAACGTGCCTGATGTGCTCCGTGTGGAAATCACCGTTGGTCTTTTGTGCCAAATCGCTTATATATATCGCCGAGATTATAATATTAATCTGTTATTCAATTAGTTATACTCTAATTTATATTTTTAATAATTAGTTATACTTTTTACAATTAATTTTAATTACATATTTACATAAATCTTTCTATTTATACAATTTATTTTGTTTATATACCGAATAAAAATAAAGAAATATTTTATTTAAGTAACATTTTTTGTTTACATTTTATTTTCTCTGTATAATATTTTTAATTATTTAATTTTATTTATAAGAATCAGACTTTCATTTTTGATAATATAGACTTTCAAAATAATAATGAAGTACAATATTCTGCATTTTACATGATATTTTAATTCTATTTCTTTTTAATGCAAATCTTCTATTTTTTAAAAAAAAATGTTAATTTCTTTTACTGTTTAATAATTAAATAATAAAGTAACAAATTAAAAAATACGTATATTTATATTATGGATTAAGTTTATTTACTTAAATTGATCTTAATTCTTTCATTCATTTTATCAATTGAATTTTGTACAATAAATATTATTAATAAGATTATGTTTTCAATTTTTATTTAAACCATAAGATGAAAATATAATAAAAAAGTTCATCTAAATATATTTAAACTCAAACAGCAATTTTATATTTTTGAAAAAATTATTATATTTTATTATTATTATTATTATTATTATTATATTATTTATTATAATCAATTTATGAAAAAATATATAAAATTCTCTTTATAATAGAAGTTTTTTAACAGTTATAATTTATATTGAAATTATTACTTAATACAAGTAAAATATGGTAATAATAAGCTTCTTATATAAGTATGGTAATTCTGTATCTGAAATCAAAAAGCAATATATTTTTATTTTCAAAAATACGAAATTTCTTTTTTTAACCATACAAAATAATGCTATTATTAAATTTAATTAATTAAATAAAATACTAGTTAATACAGTTTAATAGAGTGTAATTAAATTGAATTAATAAAAATGTTGTTTTGTTACATCTTCTTAAATATTCATTAATTTTATAATAAAGAAGAAAAGATCCAGATAATAAAAAAATATATTTTATTAAATTGTATGAATTTATTGAGTAAGCGGTTGTAGAAAAAATAAATTAGCCAAATCAGATATTTTTTTAAGTAAATGGGTAAACTTTTGTATAAGAATAAAACTAAATATTAAATTTTAATATATTTCATAAGATTGACTTACGAAAAAATTACATTATTTTACGAGAAATTTTATATTTTATGACTAAATGTTTAATCAATATAATTTACACTTTGTATTTATTTTATAAACAATTTTGATGATTCATTTTCTGAGTATTTAATCATCTTTTGTATATAGAAGATTTTATACAAAATGTACATTTAAAAAAAAATACCTTAAAAAAATAATTAACATTAATTACTTTCTGTGTGGTAATGTTATTATTGTTATTAGTATTTTCATAATTATAATTATTCTTCTTTTTCTTCTAATTATTATTTTAACATATTATAGCATCTAAAACAATAGTTTATTTGATATTGGGTACAAAATAATAAGTTAAATATATAATATTAAAGAAATATTAATAATTATTTATAGACTTTAAGTACTTTAATACAAATTCAAAAAGTTCGATTTTAATAATAATTTTTATGAATTAACATAAAAGTTTTATACATTTTCAAAAATATGATTTAACATTTAGATATTCTACTCTTAATTTTATAACATTATAAAATTAAACTTTTAAATAAATAAAGATAAACACAATTAAAAGATATTCTGTAGTTACATTATGAAAAGTAAAAAAAACGTACATTAGAATTATAAATTTGTATGACTCAATAATGATTTCAATTTTAAATACTAAAATTACAAATATATTTTTCGTATTTAAAATGTAAAATATAGGCTTTAAATATTGGGAGTTAAATTTAAATAAAAAACAATACAATTATTATATTTAAATAGAAAGTCCAAAGCAACATAAAAAAAGATTCCGCATAATATTATACTCATAATGTAATCGTGTAAATTACATAAATTTACATCCTCTTCTTCTCATTATGAACGCTAATATCGAAGCTTATCTATATGACTTATTACAAATAAATACATTTCTTAATAACGGTTGCGATATATCGATGACAATTTTTTAATATTTGTACTAATATTTTGATATTCTTCTGTCACTTCTATCATAAGTCTAATGTAAATAATAAACACTTTTATATTCATCGATACAATTATCGAAGACCTAGATTATTAATTCTCGTTCTTAAATATACACTTCCCCCTTCTTCACTTTTTCTCTCTCTTTCTCTAAATCCAGATGTAGATTCAAGACCAGCTCTGATCGAGGGCAAAGTTTGATTTTAAGGGTGGGAGCGTGGGCGACTAAAAATACGGCTTTTCCGGGGCTTGCCAAAATACCGATAAACCACAGCTAGCCTCGCAGTACTTGTTGCTTGTAGATCACCGGCGTTTGACAGTCGCGAGAGAGATGCACAGCGATAAGGGTGGGCTGCAGCTGTGGGCACAGGACCCTTTTCTCCGAGGTGGACGGGCCCCAAAACAGAACAACGCTTCTTTGCCGGGGAGGTCCTTTATTGTGTGCAACGATTGATACGTTGTAAGTTTCGGGTGGTTAATTTTCTGATCTATGATGAGCAATTAAAACTATACAATTGCTTTAATATTTTCAATTCAAATAAATTATAACAAAATTAGATTTTCACGATATTTTTCAGCTATATTCGAACAAAAATCGATTTATCTTATATCTATAAATAGACATTCACAGTTTAGTGAAAATATAATTACTATATAATAAACATCAGATCCTCAATACATCTATTTATAGCGCATGTGCTCTGTTATTTATACAAATTTTATGCATGTTTCGAGAAATTTTTATACTTTTAAAAAGAATTTCTGCTTCTTAATTAATACTATTGTTTTATTATTTATTATTTATTACTTAAGCTTTTATATGGATACTAAAAAAATGTTATATCATATTTTAGTTTATAAAATTCATTATGTCCATAAAGTTACTTCTCGATAATATATGTTTTACCATGTTTTGCTTTCAAATATTACATTTAAGTTGTATTTTTATTTGTTTCAATTTTATTTGATAATAATTAGTATTTTGTTAAACATGCATAAATAGATGAAATTAAGATTGAATTTTTTTAATTTTGTAACAGAAATATTGTTTTAAACATTAATGTTTTAAACATTTAAACATAATACTAATTCTTAGAAGCTTTAGTGAATGAATGCATTTATAACTAACTCACTTTCCATAATTTCTCAATTATTTAAGGAATTAATAGAAATAATAAAGAATTTGTATGTAGGAGTTGAGAATGATGTTTAAATGATACGATTTTGGAAATAATCAAACCAGTACGAGAATAAAAAGATCGATGTTCCTGTTTTATTTCTTTTTACTTCAAAAATTGATTTATTTAATCACTTATGAATAATACTAAATTTTACATAATGAATTAATCAATTAAATTTCTTATAAATATTAAGAAAACTGTATGAAAATGTATATACATACATTTTCAATGCTAAATAATATTAAGAGGTTAAGCTGTAATTAATATCAATTAAAAACTTTTTAAGGAATTGGTAAAATGAAGCTGCTGCGTGCTGTTGCACTCGTAAAATAAACACATAAAAAAAAAACTGAAACTACTACACAAATATATTCTTAGTTTCTTTTTTCAAAAATATTAAAATTTTCAAAAACTATATTTGCATTTGCAAATTTTATTTAAAAGAAATTAAAAAAGCAATAAAAAGAATGAAAACAAGCAATAAAAAGATAGATTGTGGTATTATAGAAAAATCCAAAATACAATCAATACAATCAATTTTTAAATATTAATTCATATGGGAAATTAGATTTTCTGTATACAATCATTTTTGCGATTAAATTTCCTGTTTGAGAACTAATACACTTCAATAAACTTTTTTTTTAATTTTCTTTTCTTCCATTTTAACAAAAATAACGATATAAAATAATATCAAAAGAGTTTGAGTGCTAAAAATTATATTTAATATTATAAAAAGCTTGATTAATGTCTTCTTCGCGTTTTGCCTTGTTCGATAAAGAGAAAATTCTCATGGGTACAAGTTAATTGTATATGTGTATAAAGAATGCATGGTAGATGGTTGGTATGTGGAGATAAAAAAAAGGTAGCAAGAGACGAGGATGCAAGAGTAGTTAAACGATGTGGGTGCGCAGATGTATGGCCGCTATACGAAGGATCTCGGTGAATACGCAAAAGCGGAGGCGCGGAAGCTACGCCACGATAAATCCCCCAGTAAGACGATCGACAAGGTACGGACAGAAGAGTTCAACAAATCAAGGCATGGTCCGCTTTGTCGCAAATTTCTGACATTGCTGGCATTTGCATGGAAACACACGGGTGCAAGACTTGGCGAAGACTGGGTATTTCTCGCTCTTCTTGGAATCATAATGGCTCTCATCAGCTATGCCATGGATCGAGGCATATCCATGTGTAATAACGGTCAGTGCCTTATTTCTAATCCGGCTTTTTCTAATTGCACTAACATCAATAAAATTTGTCGCATTTTTCTAATAATTTATCCGAATGGTATAAACACAAAAAACTCATTTTAGACAAATATTTATAATACATTCATTACTATTATAATATTTTAATTTAATGTATTTATAAGTTCTATAAATTAAACAAACATGTCTAATGTAATAAAATAGATAATTTTGATAATATAATGATTAATCTTGATAATGTTTTCGTAATGTGAATCGATAAACAGTGATAGCTTAATATAATAATTAAATGAATTATACTTAAATCGAATATGTTAGTATAAGCAAAACTTGGTAAAATAGTAATTTACAATTTATCACAAATTTACATACAAAATTTAGTAATTTCAATTAAATTTTTTAATCATAATTAATTACTTTATTAATAATATTGACGTTAGTGTTTTGAAATTAATATTATAATATTAGAAAAATAATGTGAGTCACGTAAATAAAAATATTTTACAAAAATAACACTTGTTGAATTAATAGAAAACTTATAAATACGAATTTAACTTATCAGTACAAATTTTTTATAAATAAAACTCTTGAATTTTATTATGCATATAAAAAAATAATATCAAAATCTTATTATTTATAAAACTAAAAATCCATTTAAAAATGATGTTAAATAAATTTTATAAAAATATATATCTAAGAGTTTTCTCTATTTTATTGTACTATATTATGATATATACAATTTATAATATCGATAATTATTTATCGATTCATATAATTCATAAAATCATTTAATATTATATTTCATAGATATTTATTTATAAAATATTATTAATTCAACAAATAATTATATATTTATTAACAATAGCTATATTGTAATTTTAAAAAAGTAGTATTAAAAATACATACAAGTTAATGTTTATTATGTAAATCTTTACATTCTTGAATTTCTCAAACATATGTTTCATTTTAATATTTTACAGAGAATTTATTTATTTTAATGCACGGAAACAAATTTTAATAAATATATTTTAATTAACAGAAATACATGAAATTAAAATTATTTAATTATCTAATTTTAAAATTGAAATATTTATAAAAAGTGCATATTCTTTAATAATATAATAAATACAATAATAAATGTTTTTCAAAATATTAATTATTCAGAATATATTATTATTTATAAAAATATTTTTTAAACAATTATTTTAACTTTTTAAGAATAAATTTTTAGATTAAGTATTTTCATATAATTATTTAATATCAAATTTTACTCTTTAAATAAAAATATTATTTCTCTTAGTATTAGGACAGGTATTCCTCGAAGAATTTAACTTTTTAAAATGCTCAAATTTAAAAGCACTTTGTGCAATTAATTAGTTTTTGTAATTATTAAAGAAAATATAATTCCATTGAGAGATAAATCTATAAAGTAAAATATATAATTTATAATTAATATAAAAATAATAAATTAATCTAACAATTTATTTCAAATTATATAATAATATGCATCTTATCAATATTTTAAATATTAAGCTTAAATAGAAAATTCATATAAAATGAACTAATTATAAAAATTCTATAATTAATTTATTATTGAATAACCTATCTAAACAAGAAATGCCAACTTTATTAGATGAAAATTTCTAAATAATAAACACATTTGTATATCTTATACAAAATCAAGTATAAAAATGATTTATTATTATATAAAAGACTAGAGAATGTAATGAATATAAAATTTAATTTTAATGATATTCCTTTTGAATTATTATAATGTTTTAATAATAGATATTATATCTTCGAATTTGTAGTTTTCTAATTAAATTTCTAAATTTCAATGAAATAATCATGACTTTATATAAATAAAATCTTTTATCAATTAATGATTGCATACATGTTAATAAAAGTAATTTAAAAATTTTATTGTTTATATAGAATTTAAACTTTAAAATAAAAGAAACAAGTAATTAGTAAATTATTAACAATTGAATTAAAATTATGTATAAAAATCGCAATTCGTGATATACCGACTTTTAAGCATAATATTGAAAATAATCTATATTTTTTAAAGATGAGTAAAAACAATAAACCATACATTACATTACGCAGATTTATTTAATTTCAATGATATTACTAATTTAAAAAAAACTAAGTATAGTGATACTATTGATTAAAATTAAGCATTAGAAATATTCGTGGTTAAAATCATACAATTAAAGATAAAAATAGCTATACAAAGAAAGAACTTTTAAAACGAGAAAATAAGTACAAGTAAGTTTTATATTTATATTTAATAAGTTATTTACAATAAGTATTTGAATAAGTAAATAATTTTTAATTTGATATTGTAGAATAAATTTAAAAAAAACACTGATTGTATAGGTGAACATCGTCAAGGTAATCCTTATTTTGATATATAGTGTCAAATTCAGATTGTATTATCAATAGACAATGATTTAATTAAATAAATTTGATTGAAAATAGAAGCCGAGCACTATACAAACGATAAACCTTTTTTACTTCAAGGTCAAGACAATTTATTTTTCATTCTATCTAAACTCTAATAGAGAATATCAACCAATTTCTCGCTATAATCAATTAGCTTTAATCATCGTACTC